GCACGTCGGGGATGAGCACCTGCTTTCCGGGCTCCCCTTGCAGGGCGACAGTGCCGCGGCCATGGACGTCCTGCAGCGCCCCATTGAAGCCGCGCACGTGCTTGATGGAGCCGCTCGGCTGCAAGTCGACGAAGACTTCCTTCGTCCCCATCAGGTGGTGGGAGCAGCCGCTGTCGAGCAGGACCACCGCCGGGTTCGCCTGCACAGCTGCCGCCACCGCCTAGAAGTCCTCTCCGGCCTCCGGCGCCAGCGAGAAAATCGGCTCCACGACGCCGACCAGCGAGCAGGACGCCTTCTTGTCGTCCCGCGCCTTGCCGCCAGCAGAGGATTCGGCGTCCTTCGCCGAGGTCGACGTCGTCGACTGCTTCTCCTTGTGCGGCTTGTTTGATCCTCGACGAGGACGACGGCTGCCAGACCTCCTACGGCCTCCCTTGGCGTCGTCATCGTCGGAGTCACTGCGGTCGGGGCACTCGAAGGAGAGGTGGTCGGGGTCGCCGCACAACCAGCACTCCTGACGTCGACCTCCTCCTCCTCGACCGCTGTCCTTGGTCGACTTCTTCTTGTCGACCTCCTTGGCTTGCTCCCAGCCACTGTTACCACCGCCGCCAGACTGTCCGCGTTGCCCCGGTCGGCCACCTTGCTTCGCCGGGGCGACGAAGTTCGCTATCGCCAAGAGCTCCTGTGACCGCTCAGCCTCTTGCATCGCCTCATCTTGCAGGATGTACGAGGTCAAGCTGTCCTCGTTGAGCGTCGTCCTCATGCTCGGCGCCATTGACAGCCTCTTCAGGAGGTTATAGCTGCTCGAGAGTCCCTGCATGACGTGGGTGACGTACGACGCAGTCGAGTACTGCGCGCCGGCCATCCTGATGGTGACGAGAATTCGCCGGGCCCGGTTGCAGTAGTCGGTCGCTGTCTCCTCGTCGCCCATACGCAGGTGCGTCAGCTGCCCCTCCAGCTGGGCGATGAACAAGTCGTCGGTGACTTGGTAGGTCGACTCAATAAAGTGCCACGCCCGGTGGCCGGCGTCGAGGTACTCTCGGCACCACTTCAAGGCGATCTGCACACCCGGCGAGCAGCACCGCGAGATGACCGTAAAAGTCAACAGCTGAACGGCGCGGAACTCCGCACGCAAGTCGGCGTGATGCTCCTCCGGCGTCGCCACTGTCCCTCGGGCGAAGCCGATCAGCCCGGCCATCTCCAGCTGGGGCTCGATAGCTTCCTTCCAAGTGAGAATGTCTTGTCGACCAGTGAGCGGTGGGGTGACCAGGATCATGTCCGGCGTGAACTTGAAGTAGCCGTAGCTCGGAGCAATCCCGCCTGCCGTCACCTGAGTCGCCGACATCGGCGACAATCCGCTTCGTCGACCTCCGACGTCGCCCTGCGAGGATCCTGCAGCCGCCGACGACTGCCTTCCTCGAGCCTGAACGCCGCCGACTTCATCGGCGTGAATCACACCTCTCTGCCTCGACGTGCCTCCCGCACTGCTGCCGACTTGGCCACCTCCGGCGTTGACGCCCACATCGACGCCGCCTTCGTTGGTCACCGGTCGAGGAGAAGCCGGTCGAGAAGGGGGATGCTCCGTCGCTCACATGGAGCGGAGTCCAGCCTCGACAACCGCCCAGGGTATCGCCCCATACTCCTGGGCCTCATGGCGTCTCCTCGCATCCTCCAGCCGTCCCTCCAGGGTGTCCATCACCTCTGTGTCACCTACGCGCAGGCTAGGGACTGTACGGCTGCCGGCCTACAAGCAACTTAGGTAAGTGGCCTCTACGTCGACCTGACTGAAAGGTAAGTCGTGTGCCATCCACGCTCACCGCACCATGCGGAGATAACTACTACAACGGGAGCTAGACTATGGGCTGGGCACGGGTGCTCGTGTGATCTCTGCGTTCGTTGGTCCTTAGTCGTTTTCCTAGTGCTCACACTGCTTGCTAGTTCACGCAATTTGGCAAGAGTTTCACTAGAGAAAGTTGACAAGAATGGTACAATGAAATTGGCATGGCAAGACTACATCAGAGCTAGCATTCAGGTCGGTCGACTGCCAGCGCAGCATGGTCGACCGCGTTCCAGCAGTGCAAAGTCGACGGCGTGCCAACGTCGTAGGTTGACGGCGTGCCAGCGCTGCTCACGCAGAACAGCAGCGCACCCGCTTCGCAGGTGCTCGCAGGTGATTGGCGGGCTGAGCCTCGTCACCTGCACAACGCACACACCAAGTCAACCTGGCGCTGATGACTGCTTCTGATCAGCCACGTCGACCTCGGGATACCACCACCGAGGTCGGGCTCGCCAACTTTGCCTGGGCGACCGTCGCACTCCTCCTCAGAACCTCGTCACCCAGGTAACCTGGTCGACCGGGCAACCACGTCGACCAGCTGCTCCCGTACGTGCCCGTCGACCTCCCAAGTCGACGGCCACCTCCAAGTCGACCTCACCAGGTCGACCACGCCCTTGGTCGACCAGCTCCAGGTCGACGTCCCTTCTGGTCGGACAGCTCCACGTCGACCAGCATTCCTGGTCGATCAGCTCCATGTCGACCAGCGCAGTTGTCAGCCGACCTCCCAAGTCGGCTACCCGAAGTCGGCGTCACGAAGTTGACGCCCAGCTACTCGACGCCCAACTGCTCGGCGTCCTGAGTCGAGGTCGACGTCGGCCCCTCCTTCGTCGACCACCGAGTCAGGTCGACCACCAGCAGGTCGACCAGCAGGCCTGGTCGACCAACCACCAGGTCGACCAGCAGTCCGTCAGCCGACCACCGAAGTCGGCTGCCCAAGTTGACGTCACCAAGTTGACGTCCTCCCCAGGTCGACTTCCCAGGTCGACCTCCTCGAAGTCGGCCTCATAGTGAATTCAACCCCGTGCAGTGGTTCCCGTGCAGGTCGACCTCCTCGTCAACGAGCTCGCCCACTGCTGCAAGTCGGCTGCTCCCCTCACACCCGACCACGAAGTCGGCTCCGCCCAAGCGAGGACGGGGCCGACACACAACTCCCGTTGACATGCCTCTGCCGTTTTGTGTACGAGTGGCTTTGCCTCGGCCCACTTGCTGACGTTCTCCACTATCAGGAGTATGTACCTCCATCCTTTCGCGGTGACCAGCAGCTCCCCCGCTATGTCCAAGGACCACCTGTAGCCCAGACTCACTATAGGTAAGGGCTGCAGCTCTGCCTTCTCCCTTTCCAGCACTGCTCTTTTTCTGCAGCATGCCTCACACTTCCACACCCATTCCTTGACCTGCCGCCGCATGCCTGCCCACCACCACCCCGTCTGAACCAGCTGCTGCATGCGCAGGGGTCCGTAGTGCCCTAACTTCATGTGCACCTCACTGATGATACCTTCCCGTTCGGCCGGAGGCGGGACATGCTTCCAACCCTCCCCTGTACGCAGCTGCACCTGCCCCTTGAACCAGCGGTAGTGCTCCCCCCTCGCGCGCACCCTAGCCGGCACCGCCCCTTCCTCCGTGGTTGCCCCCTGAATCCATGCCAGGGCTTCCTGGTCTTCCCAGATGTCGGCTGGTCCCCCTTTTCTCTCCCCCCACACCTGCCCCCTGTCTGCTTCCTTCGCCATCGCCATGAGGAAGGCTGATGGCTGCACCTCCGGTGGGTTCCTGGACAGGATATCAACATGCTGCATGGTCTTGCCTGGGCGGTGCTTGATCTCAAAGTCGTATTCTTGCAGCTTCATTGCCCAGCGGGCGTTCCGCCCTGTGAGATCAGGTGTCTGCATCAGCCAAAGCAGCGGCTGGTGGTCGGTCACTAGCGTGAACTTCCTTCCCTGCAGGTAGACCCTGAAATGCTTCACCGCCCACACCACCGCTAGCCCCTCCCCTTCAAATGACGAGTAGTTAGCCTCCGCCGCGTTGCAGCTGCGGCTCGCGAAGGCCACTACCTTCTCCACGTCGCCCTTCATGTGTGCCAGTACCGCTCCCATGCCTGCGCTGCTCCAGTCGGTGTAAAGTGTGAAAGGCATGTCCGCTCCGGGCAGCTCCAGCACCGCACCGTTCTCGATTGCTCCCATCAGATCTTGCACCGCCCTTTCTTGGTCTGGCTTCCATTCCCACTGCTTGTCCTCTCTGAGCAGCTGATTCAGCGCGGTGGTGCGGCTGCTGAAGTTCGGTACGAACTTGCGATAATAGTTCAAAAACCCCAGCAGCGCTCGCAAGGTGGTTCTGTCCTTCGGTGTGGCCACGCGGTCTAGCACTTCAACTTTTGCTTTCTGAATCCCAATCTTCCCTCCTTCCACCTCGAACCCAAGGTACTCCACCGTGGTTTGCCCAAACTTGCACTTCGCCGGATGACAAGTGAGCCCTGCTCCCTCTATGGCACTCAGTGTGGCTTCCACGTCCTTCACGTGCGAGCTGCTATCTGTGCTAAACATGATGACATCGTCGATGTAGCATGCGGCATTCTGCACCTCCTTCAGCACCTGATCCATGACGCGCTGGAAATTTGGCGAGGCCGATTTCAAGCCGAAAGGTAGAAAGTTCCACTCGTACTGCCCGTCTGGCCCATGAAAGGCCGTCTTCTTCTTGTCTGCTTCCGCTATGGGGATCTGGTTGAACCCCTGCCGCAGGTCCAGCGTGGAGAACATGAGCGCCTCTGCCAGTAGATCGAAGATTTCATCTGGCATCGGAGTTTGGTATCTCTTCATGATCGTGACCTTGTTTAGTCCCCTGTAATCCCCACACATTCGCTTGGAGAGCACTTTTCCCGTCAGGTCCGTTCGCGCCGCTAGTACCGTCGCTGCTGCATATTTGGAGTTGGACTTCCGTATGAAGCCTGCCTCTAGTAACTCCTGACACTTCTCTTCTGTTGTTATCCGCCGCCGCCGCTGGTACACTGGGATGTCTGTTGTCAGCTCCAGGGTGACTTCCGCCCCACTTCCTTCAGCGAGTAGGCGAAGGCCGCCCGGTGCTTGGCCAACACCTGCTTCAGCTTGCCTGCGTCTGCTTCTGAGACGCCCTCTCCTATTACCCACTCCCGTGCCCCTTTGACTTGCCCAGATGCCTACTGCTCCTCCTTCGGCTGCTCCGCTCTTTCTGTCCCCCTTGCCGACTGCTGTGCCACTTCTGTGCCCCCAGTCGTCTGCTCGCCCTGTGCCTCCACCCCTGTGGGACCGTCCTCTTTCGTTGCAGCCATGAGCGCGAAGTCACTAAACCCAAATTCCCGCTCGTACCTCTCCCTGCTCCGCTGCCTTTCGATCGCCTCTTCCAACCAGCTGAAGTCCTCCCGCTTCTTGTCCACTGCTTCCTCCTCCCGGTCTCCTGGGAGCCAGATTTCTTCCTGTTCTGCATACACCACCGGTCTCTCATCCTCCTCCTCCCAAGGGTAGACCCACCTCCTGTCCAGCGGGTGCCCCCGCTCGTGCTGCCGCTCGTCATGTTCCTGGATCTCAACTAACATCGCCCGCGCCAGCGCCTCCTTCGCGAGTGACCTTTCTATTGGCGGTTGCACTGCTGCCGCCTTGTCCCGCTTCCTTTCCCATCGCAGTTGTGAATGGTACATCCTCATGGTGGCTACCAGCCAATGCATCACGTATCCATGGCTCTTCCCAGCGCCCTCCGCCTCTCTTCCTCTGTTACTTCCGGGTGCGCCGTAGCGTCCACCATGAACCCCATGGCTAGTTCCCTTTGCAGCGCCGTCGGCTCCTGCCACTCCCGCGCAGTGCAATCGTAGACCATGCCTGGGCCTGGCACCCCATCGTGCATCCTGATGGCTGCGGCTTCGTCGTGCGAGACGAACGTTGGCCAAGCCTGTCTTGGATTTCCCACTTCATTGCAGGGAAACTGTGTCGGGTGATCTGGCTGGTCCACGGGTGCCGGCATTCTCCCAGGTTCTAGAATATCCTCCACCAGCAGGGGCACCGGCCGTTCCATCAGCGAGAGTCTATACTGCAGCACCGCCTCGCTCACCCCATTTGTCAAGTAGCGACGGACCCGGTGTGTCCTGCTTCCCGCTTGAGCCCCATCTGCCAACACGCCCGGCCCCAGGGCCGCCGTCACCTCCTCGTGTGCCACCTGCACCTGTTCCCTAATATCTCCTTCCATGTCTACGTTCTTGACGATGTATAGCACGTCACCTTGGATTCGCTTTATCAGCTCTAGCACACGCTTCAGTTCCCGGAACAAGCCGCTCCTTTCATCCCTCATGCCTCTTCCAGCTCCCGCTCGCGAGTAACCCTGGCACTCCCACCCCGCAATGACCACATCGATCCTCCCCCATTGCCGCAGTTGGTGCTCGTCTATGCTTCGTATGTTGCATAGTAGGCTTCGCTCCAATGTCGCCGCGCAGAACTGGTGTGGGTATCGCTCATGCAGCTTGTGTGCGTGACGCACTGCCATTTTCGCCGCTTCCATGTCGCTTTCTACCAGGATCCACTTTTCCACGCTTATCCCCGCCTTCAGCACTGCCGCCAGCCTTGTCCCTATGCCCCCAAAGAGGTTTAGCACAACCGTGGGTCCCAACAGCCTTTTCGTGTTGGTGCACAATGCCTTCAAGTCTGCCTCCCCTCCATTCTACTCCTACTGTCCTGATGGCATCCGCGCGATCTGCTGCCAGCTAGGGATGCCTAGCTCCTCGCGTAGTTTGGCCTCTGAGCACTGATAGGCCTCCCTTGGCTCCCTCCGCACGAAGCGCACCGGCAGCGTGCCGATGGGCCCGTCATCTTCCCAGTAGCAGACCCGATACTGCACCTTTTCTTCCCACATGCAGATAGTGGCTCCAATCCCGAACAGGTATTCCACCCCTATGAGCAGGTCGAAGTCTTCTTATTCCGACACCCCGCAGTACACCCGTAGTGAGCACTCCTCCGTAGTACCCGGGTTCAACATCAAGGCCATCGATTGCCTGGTCTTAGGCATCCACTTCGGCTCCCCGCCGTCCGCCGTCATTAGCAAATATCCTTCCGCAATCAGGCGCCCCGACTTATGTAGCTGCAGCTTTTTCGCCAGACGCCTACCGATGACCACATGTGCGGCTCCCGTGTCAACGATTTCCCGCTGCGCCGTGAAGCCGCCGATCGTGATTGCCCCAGCCGCTATCATCAGTACCGTGGCTTGGCATGTCATTCTCTCGCGCGGATGCCGGTAGGCTGCTCCAGGTGCTTCAGTGCTTTCGCTTGCCCGCCGCCTCGGACCATCCTCTCGCCGTACGTCCTCGGGGAATTCCTGCGTCCGCGTAGCCCTCCGCAAACCCAGCTCGTCCCTGTTGCGTGCCGGCTGTGCCATCAGCATGAACTCCGGCTCGTCCGCTTCCTCCTCTTCGTGCGCGGCCATGGCTGGCTGCTTTTGCTCGGTTGCCTCCAGTTCCGCCAATTGCGCTCGCAGACGTGCCATGGTGGCTTGCAGATCCTCTCTGCTTTCCGTCCCTCGACGATCCCTCCGTCCTGTGTAGCAATATGCTTCACGATGGCCTTTCCGGCCGCAGCGCGCGCAGGTGGGCGCTCCTGGGCAATCCCTTCTCATATGCTCCCGACTTCTACATAGCGAGCACGCCGCCGGATTCGGACAGTCTCGCCGTAAGTGCCCTGTCAGGCCGCAGTTGTGACAACGGCGCGGCTCCTCTCTGCCCCGTTCTTTTGGTTCTGGGTAGGCTGATGTCGCTGCCCATGCCGGCCGTCTCCTCTCTGGTCCCCTATCGGCTGTTCGTTCCACCTCGTATAGCCGCCGCCCTGTTTCCACGCGCTTCACAATCTCGTATGCCTCCCTCAACGTAGCCTCCGACCCCATCTCAAACACTCGCACCTGCACGTCCTGCTTCAGGGGCTGACTCAGCCCATTCACGAATTTCTCGATCAATCTTCCCTGATCCGTGCAGTTCATATCTTCCCCCAGCTCCACCAATCTCCCGTAGTAGGCTAACAGGGATTCTCCCTCCCTCCGTTGGAAGCCTCGGAACTCCACGACCCTTTCCGCCGTCTGCAGGGGAAACTGCTCTCGGAGCATCGCCAGAAACCGTGAGGTGGGATCCCGTTCTCCCGGTGCCCTCCCGGCCGAACATTCGAGTAACTCCCTTCGTGAAATTCGGTAGTAGGTCTCCGCTTCTCCCGCCAAGGTATTCGCTAGTCCTCGAAAGAACTCCTCCGGATCCAGCCGGTCCTTTGCCCAGCGTGCCTGCAGATTCTCCAATTGCATGATATAGTTCTTTAGGCTCGGGCCCCGCCTGCTATCCCCCGAAAATCTCTCGGGCACCTCGATTTTTGGCAGCTGCGTATACTTCCAGCGCTGCACCGCCGCCTCATCTTCCATACCCTGCCACGAGGCGCTTCGCTGGTAGCCACTCGGCCCCCGTTCCTGCGAGCGCGTCGGCGGTTGATCTCGCTACCGTTCCCCTGGTCCTCCGGATGCGTTATTCCCGCCATCCCTTGGATCTATGCGAGCGCCGCCCTGTGGTCCGCTTGCGCCCTCGCTGGACCCACCTTGCCCTTCCGTCCTCCCCGTCTCCTGCAACTCCTTCGTCGCCTGATCCTTCTCCGTCTCATTCGCCATCTGCTGGCTTTGCTTTCCTCTAATCGTCGGTCCTTCTAAGAGTCTGCCCGAACGTAACTGCATAAACCTTGACTGCGTGTTTGTTAACTCCTCCCATTCCTAACTCATTCTGATTACTGTTATGGCTTCGCTGCACACTGCGTTGTTGAAGTTATTGCAGTAATTCACGAAAACAAACACGCAGTGGCAGTCCCATGGCCCAGGTTCATGCCTTAAGCTTCCCTACTCAAACCCCAGCTAGGCTAGCCTAACAATGAACCACTGGTTGGCTGCCTAGCTTGCCATCCATGCTGCTTTCCTGCCTGCCCCCAGCTGGCGTTCCTGTCTTCCAGCTCCATCCTGGACTCGGTGTCTGCAAGAGAAAACAAAGCACACACATGCACACCACACATCACACATTCGCACCCCCACGCCACTGTTGGTGCAACCCTACGGTTTGCACTCGGCTTGTTGTCCGTGTGCGTGAATGTGTGTGTGTATGGAATGGTATGAGGGCATGGGATAATATATATTTCATGCTTATAATTGTGTGTGAATGTTGAGTCATGATGTCGAGTGTGTGTGTCGAGTCAATAGCGAGTTATCGCTAGACGCGTGTTACGCGGTCGTTTGTGTCTCGCGCGCGGTTTCTATTTTGTCGTGCGCGGTTTCTATTTTGTCCTGTGTCGAACGTTCGGCGTGTCGCAGGTGTGTGCAGCAGACCCATCAAGAACTCAAGGATGAGGTTGTGATGAAGAGCCCGAGCCTTGGTGTCAAGCCTCAAGTGATTTCGAAGCTCGCCAAAAGGGTACACCTCAAGATATTGAAGATAGTTACATTACTTTGTGTAGTGTAACATTTCACTTGGTGTAGGCCCTACTGAAGGGTAGTTTCGAGACCCTTCGTGGTTGGGGACAGTGTGGCACTGTTCCACATCACTTTACCTCGGCTCTTGGGGTTTGTAGGAGCTGGGAGTCATTCCCAACTCGTAACTTTTCCTATCTTGTGTTTTAAGACTATAGTGGCTGCCATAGTACCGTTCGTTCAAACCGACGCTGTGTCGTCAATTCTTTATCAAATCGTGCAATCTAAATTGCTAATTGTAGACGACGTGAAGACTCTCCAGATCCAATTTGAATCAAGTCATTTGCAGCTGTGAGCAGAACGCTATCAACGTTTGAAGCCGCTGTGCAGAAATCCGTCTGTGCTCTCTATCTTTCGTTTTAGGCACATTCAAGCCTATTGTGACTATAACAAGTGGTATCAGAGCCCCTTGGAGCAGTTTCGACAATTTCTGGACCTGAGGAAAGGGGTGGCAGAGGTGCTGGTGGCAGTGGAGAAGCTCAAGCTCAAGGCCAACCCCGTGATTCAGCCATGGCACCCATGCAACCAAGTCTTGGCCCACCTAGGGATGAGCCTAGGGTGTTTGGGCTTGACAAGTTCAACGGTGACAACTTTGCTGAATGGTCCTTCAAGATGGAGAACATCTTTGACCACTATGACCTGCTGGAGGTGATGGAAGGAACGGAGAAGCGCCCCGAGAACGACCCGGAGAAGAGCCCGTGGGTGCGGAAGAGCGCACAAGGCTATCTCTTACTTGGGCAAGCGTTGGGGAGCAGTCAGATCCGTCACATCAAGCCATTCCAGCGTGAACCAGAGAAAGGACCAAAGGCATGGGCTGCTCTCAAGGGTGTACATGCTCCTGCAACAGCGGCGGTAGCGGTGGTGTTGGAACGGCAAATGGCGGCACTACGAATTGAAAAAAACGAAGCGGTTGAAGAAGGGGTGCAGAAATTCTTCGACTTGTTGACGCGGCTTGAGGGAGCTGATTTGAACTACAGTGAGCTCCAAAAGAAGACCAAGTTGCTGGCCTTACTCCCAGAGTCATGGTCCTCGCTCATCATCAACCTTAATCGCGACTTGCCCCGCCTCTCGCTTGAAGACGTGAAGCGAGCTATCCTTCAAGAGGATTTCCGCCGCCGTGAGTTGGCGAGTGCGGATGGCGCTGGGGCAGCGAGCATCGGCCGTGGATATGGTCGAGGAAGAGGCAGAGGACGAGGGGGAGGAAGGTTTGGTGGCAGCAACTTCGGCGGAGGCCGCAGGAGTGGCGGTTACGGCAGCGACGACAAGAGCTACGGACGCGGTCGCGGCCGATTCGACGGCGAGTGTCACTATTGCCACAAGAGCGGACACATGTGGCGCGACTGCTACAAACTCCCTGATGGTTGGACCCCTGCTCAAGGCCAAGAGGGTAGAGGAGCAGGAGGAGGGAGAGGACGAGGCCGTGGAGGCCGTGGCGGTCGCGGTGGCGGAGCTGCAAACATGAAGAGCGGAGACAACGACAAGGACCCGAGCGACGATCGATACCCGGGTCTATTCTACTTCGTGTCGACGCAAGTACCGGCTGGTCCAGAGAAGGATGAAGGCTTTGAGGAGCCAGCAGCTGTGGGGAAGGTGACCCTACACCCCCTGGACTATTGGGTGATTGATAGTGGCGCTACCTATAGCATGACACCTCGCCCGGACTTGCTCACCGAACTCGAGCCGTCACCGGTGAAGCATGTCACATCGGCTTTGGGGCA